TCCACTGGGGAGGACAAGTCTTAAATAAACCTGCAGAGTAGGAAACTCAAGCACACAGCAAGTTTTTATATAAGGGAGGCGGGAAGGGTGGTGGGGGAAGGACACAGGAGGATGGAAGAATTAGAACAAGAATCTGGGTCCTAGTCTTGTATTAAATAGTTCCAGCTTTGATCTAAATTTAGGTAATGAACACTTCCTGTGGGAAACTATTTTCCAAAGCTGAAAACTTTTTGATGGTAAAATATTTTCAGTGATTTTATAATTGGGGCAATGTGGTTATTTGTTCAGGATCCTGGCTTTCAGTTAGATAAATGCCTTCAGTATTCTGTACTTACCATGACTTCCTCTTTTACTTTATGTCGGATTGCTCTTGTTCAACTCAAGTTTTCACAAAGTCTTAATTAAGTAAGGCTTGAAATTGTATTAAAATGAAGTAAAACAAAACAAGAACCACCAAAAACTACACATATTTCAGAGTTCCAGTGTTTTTACAAAACTGCTGCCATTTATGATATTTTTGACATTTCCTATCCTGTCTCTGGACTGAATTTCAGTGGATGCATCTACATGAGATGTTTCACTGTGCATTAGACTAAGCTAATGTGCATCTACACATGAACAGAACTTACTCTGCAGAAATTAGGCTAATGTGCCATTTGCTAGTACCAACAAATACAAATTTCATTGACATTAGGGCTGGAAGGGACCTTGGAAGATCATTGAGTCCAACCCCCAACCGAAGGGCAGGAAGTCAGCTGGGGTCATAGGATCCCAACAAGATAAGCATCCAATTTACTCTTGGAGGTGTTCAATGTAGGTACTTGAACCACCTCCGATGGCAGGTTACTCCAGATCTTGGGGGCTCGGACAGTAAAGAAATTTTTTCTTATGTCCAGCCTGAAATGGTCTTGCAGTAGTTTATAACCAGTACTAGATTAATTGCACATTAGCTACTGTGCAGTAGTGCATGTGTACATACTGACTGGGAGCAATTTGCTGAACTGGGAGCTGAGCAGTGCTGGGACGGGAGAGCTCTCTTTCTCCAGTCCCGGCATTGCTCAGCTCTTGGCTCCCCCCATGCATGGGTGAAGAGTGGGAGCCAACTGGAGTGTGCACTGCACAGGGGCTGAAGGGACAGAGCGCTCCCTTGTCCCTTCAGCTCACAGAAGAGGGAAGCAGCACCAGTCCCATCTCTCTCCTGGTCCCAGCACTGCTTCCTGGTCTCCCCCGCATCTTCCCCCTAGTCCCGACACTGCTTATTCCCATGCTGGGGCACGGGGCATTGTCTTAAACCAGTACTGCTGAGCCAGGTTGTGATCTGGAGTTCCATGTAGCTAGGAGCTGTCCTCTGCTCCCAGATAGCTCCTCTCAACTCCTTGGGGCCCCAAGCCTGACCTCTGTACCCTCTGCCAACCTGGAGCTGGCACTTGGGGGAGCCTGGAGCTCGCCCCAGGCTGCTGCAGGGGGGCAGAGCAGGGGAGGGGAGCAGGAGCAGCCCTGGACTCAACTGTACCCAATGGGAGCAGCTCCTGACAGAGGCACATGTGTATGTGCCCCCAGGAATGCTTTAATAAGCCTGAATTTTCTTCGCAGTAAATTCAGGCACATTAATTGCATATGATATGTAGACACACCCAATACTCCCAGCTCTCATTATTATGTCATGAGTCTTGCAGTGTTTAGTGTTTTTTTCTCATAGCTGCAGCTCCTGGAGTGATGTAACTTAGTAAGAATCTCAGGGTTCATATTTTTAAAAAAGGAAGTGTTTAGTAGAGAAGACCATGAAAACATATACTTATCATAGCATATAAAACCAAAAGTCATTGGGAAGCATGACAGAAATCTGCCGTCTCTTTTAAGAACACCTGGAATAAATATATATATTTCACTTGGTGATTGGACAAGGTTGTATAATCTGACAATGTGAAACTCAGAAAATGAAACTGTACTCTTATTTACAACCCAGTTTAACTTGAGGTAACTCTACTGCCTTCAACCAGGATAAGTAAGAACTGCATCTGGTTGCTATACTGGTACATTATAATGAATCCCAATGGGACTGGGAGAAAAGTTTATTAAAAATGGTGATCACTGTGTAGGGTTAATCAGTTTGCTGTATCAAAATATGTAAAAATTGGTTCCTGCTGTTGGAATTGTTAAAGTGAGGGGTTGTTACTATAATGATTTTTTAATGAGGTTTTACTGTATTTACAATAGTTTACTGCTGTCAGCATAGTTTTGTACTTCTGCACATCTATGTTTTCCAGCCTAATAAAGTATTACATTTTCATTTAGAATCTGATTGCTTCCACCCTATTATGTTTAATGCCTTGCAGACTATTAACTGTAGAGAACTATATTAACATCAAGGCCTGAAGATTAATCACTTAAGAAATTAGTATAATTTGGCTCAGTTTCCCTTCTGAAGGGTAGGAAGGATTGGAAAATTATAGTTATGCCTAAGTAATGGTAGCATCTGTCAAGACTTTTCAAAGTAAGGGAAATAAAGGAGGCTTAAAAAACAGTTGGGTGATGCGTGCTTCTAACTGTGTCATGGTACATTTCTGTAACCATGTTTGGCTTCTGAATTCCTGACACTTACCTTTGCCCCTACAATCTCTTACTGGTTAGAAACTGATGAAACAGCAGTTAAAAATCCCCAATGTAGCAATATATGACTATGCTGTCTATTCCCTGAGCTGCCTCACAATCTGAAAAAGTAGTATAGACTTCCCCACAAAAGCAAATATGCATAAATAAAGAAGCTCAACCCCAAAGAGCAAATCAGAAGCTGCAATTTAAAGTAGAAGGGCACAGTTCTGAAAAAGCCATGCACGTACTTTCTCAAATGATCGTGAATTATGGGTGAGAATGCAGGCACACTACCTACGGATTAATAACCAGCTGGGAGAGTTGATGGCATGGGGTAAAACTATGTAACCCCCACTAATCATTCATTCCCCAGGAAATGCCCTGTGCCAGAACTGTTATTGAAATAACCTATTCAAAAATAAATAAAAATATTAAAGTGATTTACTTTCTTGTGCAGTTCCATTATTGAGAGAGAACAATGAAAATAGAAGGATGAACAATGGCTGAGGTACTGTGTTCATTCTGGAGTAATGCGTTCAGTTTTGGGCCCCCCACTACAGAAAGGATGTGGACAAATTGAAGACAGTCCAGCAGAGGGCAACAAAAATGGTGAGGGCTGAGGGACATGACTTATGAGGAAAGACTAAGGGAATTGGGCTTATTCAGTCCAAAGAAAAGACTGAGGGGGGATTTAATAGCAGCCTTCAATTATCTGACCGGGGGGGAGGGAGGGGTTCGAAAGAGGATGGAGCTAGACTGTTCTCAGTAGTGGAAGATGACTGAACAAGGAGCAATGACCTCAAGTTGCAGCTAGGGAAGTTAGGTTAGATATTAGGAAGAATCTTGTTACTGGGGGGTACTAAAGCACTGGAACAGGTTACCCAGAGAGGTGGTGGAAGCTCCATCCTTGGAGGTTTTCAAAACCTGGCTAGACAAAGCTTTGGCTGGGATGGTCTAGTTGGGGATGGTCCTGCTTTGAGCAGGAGGTTGGAACAGATGACCTCCTGAAGTCCCTTCCAAACCTAACTTTCTATAATTCTATGACACTGCTTCCCCCATAGAGGTCATTTCTAGACAGCAAATCCTACTCAAAAACCTAAGGTACACTTCCTTTCCATACAAACCCTAATCATTTATCACTTGTTATTTTTACTGAGTAGCATCCAGATACCTGGCCCAGGATTGCCTTGTTATACTAGGCAAGCACTATACATATGTCAATGTCTGGGCTTTTACCCCATTTAGAACAGGGATAATTATGGTCAGCTTTGTTTCAACATCTGAACAGTTACTAGAGCAAAGTATACAACAGTCAATGTGTAAATCCCTGAAAGAGGAAGAGGTGATGAGCAACATGAATGTGTTAAGAATGAATCATACCAAACCAACTTGATTTTCTTTGACTGAGTAACTAATTTGGTGGCTAAAGGCAAAATGTGATAAGCACAATATACCCAGATGTCAGCAAGGCTTCTGACAGTCCAACATGGCATTCTCATATATCAAATTAAGTAATATGGGGTTGATAGAATTCTGCCATATGGATCCATGTCTAGCTGAATAACTACTAGCCAAGAATAACTACAGTTTACTGATCATACCCCAACTTAGTGCATTTTTGTTACTGATGAGTAAGTAGGGAGCTTACTGTGTGCAAAGGTAACATGTAAGGTCAACAGTTTTGCATTATCTTGCACACATACTTTGGATGAACAATTGTGCTTCAAAAATCTATTTACAGTCAAGTCCTCATATATCTTGGAGGGTTGTTTGGAGAATCCTGTCTGTGGGTTGCTTGTTTTATTGTGAGCTGCTCTGAGCCTTTTGGATATGTCGGGATATAAATCTAATACATAAATAAATAACTAAATACACTAAGACATGGACCCACACAATATAAAACAACTTGTATTTAAATTTTACAGTTACTTGAATTTAAAAGCTAAAAATAAAGGGAATGCTCTTTTGCTTTAGTGTTAAATTGCAGGTAATATTCAATACAAGCAACAACAATGCAAATTCTTTATCAGCTTTGCAGACAGCACTTGGCCTTGGAAAGAAGCCCATTCAAGATATGAGTGCTATGGCAGTCAACAGGTAAGCATCTACCAACATTTGCAAGATGCCACAGTTTCCCCTATTCTAAGCATACTTAGGTACCGGTGGTTGGCAAACACTGACTTTTTACTGGTGACCTCCAGAATTCACTCTGACATTGTCACTCCTGGGATAAGGTTGTCAATTATGCAATTAATCTGCTCTTCCTAGAAAAGTGACATTCACAACTAACACATTTAGGTAGATTTAGAGCCAAGGTCAGATCTCAAAAATAAACAATTACATATTACCCACCCACAGTCAGGAAGCGTTAGAATATCTGGAATTACACAGAATCAGAGGTTTCTTACCTGTTCGTTGGGCTCAAAGTTTATCTCCTCCTTTTCTGTCTTCATAGCTATTAATTTTGTGCTACCAGAAGTGTCCGTCTTACTATCCAACCGCTCCAGTTTTGGGGTTACGTCTGATAAGCCAATATCTTTAGTATCATCTTTATCTAGCAAGTAGCGAAGTAGTGCATTCTCTTTCTTCTTAGGACTCACTGGTTCCTGTTTAACAGTCACCTCTGAACCAGGAGCTGTGCTATTGGACTCCTGATTCAGTTCTTTGCCTGTGGCCTCTGCTGTAAGCTTGGCCAAATCTACAGGAGAACTACTATCCTGCAAAAGTCTGTGCAAAATTTTATGCTTCTCCTTGAGCGAGGTTCCATGTGCTGAACCAGAACCAGATAAACCTCCTGTGGAGTCTTTGCTAACGTCTCCAGTGGGATTGGACAAGGGTGAAGGCTCCATCTGATCAGATTTGGTGGTCAGCAATTGTAAGAGCTTTGTCTGGCTTTTTCCATCATGCAGTCTGTTCTGTCCATCAGGTCTCTCACTACTGACAACTTGGGGCATGTTGTTATCATTACTGTCTTTCTGTTCTCCTGAATGGCAGGTACTTTCTGTTTGTCCAGTTGTACCTTCTGATTGCTCCCCATAAAGTCCAAAGCAGTCTTTAGAGTCCAGGCTTCCCATTTTGCTTAGCTGAGGAGGATTCATATTAACCGGGGAATTTTGTAAGTTACCCATTTTTAGGTCAGGTGAAGCCAACGATGACCCTAGAGAAACTCCATGGCCCTCACTGAGGGCTTGAAGTGCATTTAGGGAACTGTTGGTATAACTATGGCTATTTCCTGTGCTGCTGCAAACTCCCACAGGTGAATGCAAGCTTCCTGCAGGGGAAAATTGACTGGGTGGGATTCGAGGACTTCCTGCCACTCCAGGACTCACACGATGCCTTGGGGAAAGCATAGAGTTTGGCTGTCCTGGGTTCATGCCAGGGCTGCTTTGTGAGGGACTATTAATTTTTAGTGCATAGTTACTACCCTGAGGTGTGGATGCTTGTATGCTTGACACATGGTTCATTCCCCCTGAACCACCAAACCTGCCTGCTGGCATGCCCATTTGTTCCTTTGGGCCATTTATGGCAAAATTTATATTGCTACTGATGGTCATATCCTGACCTGGATTCCCACTGCACATAGCCTGATGGGCAGGGCTGCTGGAACTAATTGGGTTCAATGTCTTTCCCACTGCTTGTCCAGGCAAATCCTGATTCATTCCACAGACATTCTGCTCTCTGTATTATGAGAGGGGGGAAAACGCATGCATTAGCTAAGGAAGAAAACTTTTATACTACAATTACATTAAAAGTAAAACTCCTTTAAAAATAAGAAAACAAATATTTAACTGAAAAAACAGATGATGGGTTTGATAAAAGCTATCTGCAGCTGCCTGCATGGCTATATGTGCACAGTTCTGCATCAGTAACAATAGTATATTGTTCACGAACTCATTAGTATATCTCTGGCTACAAAGAAGAAATGTACTTATCTTAAATGATAGAAGCTAGATAAAGGCAACAAGTACAATTACAGTATCTCTCTTTGTGAATACATTTTTTCTACATTGCAGGATGAATTACCTTGCATGCAAGGGGGAGGTTTCGTCTTCTTAGACAAATGACCCAAATAAATACATATTTTACAGGACAGCTGTAGCCAGATGCTTTGCCAGAGTCTGAAGTTCTGTGAAAAAGCCCTTCCACTAGCCTGGAGCATCTTTGGTATCTGCCCATTAGGCCCACAATAAAAAGCAATTTTAAGATGTCAGGAAATCATGAGGCAAATTTACGTAGTGTAAGAAGAGCTGCCAAAGAATTTTAAAACTGCTCCTAAAGCACAGAAGCCAAAAAAACCCACTGGAAGCAAGTTCAGAATGAGACTAGTGGGTCACCAATCTGGTTCCAGTCACACTTTTTGAAAATTAATGTGCAAATTGTACCTCATGTATCAGAGACAAGGTTTGGGAAAGGGAGAGAGAGAGAGAGAGAGAGAGAGAGAGAGAGAGAGAGAGAGAGAAAGAGCAAGGAGAAAGTTGTTTAAAGAACATCTAAGAACTTTCTGTTTTTTTCTCTTTAGAATTTGGCTAAAATTCTTTGAATATAGAGGGAGGTTATTCTTCTATTGTAAAAGTTACATTTGTTTGTTTGTTTGAATCCAACATTTTTCCAACCTCTGAGAGGAACACTGAAATACTTAGGACCCAGTCAAATTACACAGGCCAAAATTTAGATTTTGAGGAAAAGAGAATAAAACCTGGGTTCTCTTTACTGAGAATTAAAAAAATAAAAATAAAAAAAATCATTAATTTTGTAAGCACTTATTTGTATTTAAACACTCATTTTCAGTGCTTGCACAGTAAAAAAAAAATTGCTGTCAAATATTCAAATTTAGCAGTGCCGGTGTAAGTAAACCATAAATAAAAATAACAGATCACAAACAAAAGTAAAATTACCTATTCCATTTTTGTTAGCCAAGATGGGCACAATGCAGAAAATGAATGAGTAGTAAAGACTCTAGTGTTCTCTTAGTACAAGTGTTCTGTAGCAAGAGTCAGGACATCTGCTTTATTAAAATGTATAATTTTTAACATGACAATACTTTAATTTACAACTCTGGCAGATGCTCATGAAATACCAGATGTATTCACAAATCTAAACAAAACAAGTTTCAAACTGTTAAATAGCAGCTTTCAGTTAGGTGAATACAATATCCAAATCTGTAACTGCTCTAAATTTTTTCAGCTTTAATTAGATTTACAACTGTTTTTTTCCCCTCCTCAACAAAGCAGTAATGTAGCTGCAAACTGAAACAATATTATAATTGCAGCACTGTACCAAAAAATAATTATAAATTAAAATTTGGCACAAAGAAGCCATTCATGCATTAAACTAATTCAAATTTTAGTTGTCAAATGCTGGGGTGTGGGATTCTTTACATTTGAATCCAATATTTTGTTACTTAAAAAAACAAAACAAAACTAGAAAGTGTCAGCCTTTCTTTCTTAGGAAGCACTCTGAAATTATGATGCTACATACTAACATGTTTTGAAACAGTTTGCAGCTGCGAAAGCACTAACACCACCAAATATGATCAGGACAGGTAACTGTCCTGCAAAGTAATAGTTTATCTAAAGCATGGCTCTAGCAGCCACGCTATAGTCTTCCACAAAAAAGTTATGTCAAAGCTTGTGATCCATTCTGAACTACAGGAATTTTCAAGTTCTAAGACATGACAATTATCTTGATTCTTAGAATTTTCCTGTTAAACCAGTTAACTCCAAAACTATATTATTCAGAAGGTTACTTCAAGCTGTTAGCTGTAGGCTAAATAAAAAGCCTATCAGTCAATATAATGTACATGAAACACCAACTATTCTTGCCATGGCTCTCCCTACACTCAGGGAAATAGTGGGGGAAAAAAAACTGTGAAACTAACAAAGGTTACCTGTGAAGCATATGCAAGGATATTACAAGCTGAGGTTCATTAGTCTGAGAACGGATGAGCCTGCTCTTTGTTTGGGCAGCAACTATAGTGCCATCAGACAAGGAAAATCGATAGACAGGACTGAACGCTAGTCCCTGCCTCAGCACTGCAAACAAACAACAAAATTAATGAGAAATTAGTGAGGCAGACGTAAAACACCAATATCCTAAAATTCATTAGAGTTGGCTGTTTATCTATCTTCTGGATATCACAGGAGTTGAATGATTTTAATCATCATCACAAAAATATGGCATATTAAAAGACTAGAGATGTTTTGTGGATCTGAATACTGACAATACTCACAATATGAAACATATAAAAATAAAGGAATTTAATATTATGAATGGAGCTCATGTGCTTATGAATGAACAGGGCTAATAAAATCATTAGTGCGCAATGCATTTTGGAGCAAATCAACCCTGGCAGACTTGGATCAACTTGTGATCTGGGGAACCCAATGGACTTTAGTGAAGGAGAGGCTAGGAAGTCCATGATGGCCTCACTTCTTTTGCTCAGTGGATATGTAATATTTTTCTTTCAATATCTGTCTAATGCCTCTTGCTGGTATTGTAAGTTTTTCTCCATATTTACCACCTACTATGTTTATAGAACCAGGAACAGACATTACAGTTTTACTGGTATAAGCGACTAGAAACCAGTATATACCTGTAACAGAACAGAACCTTGGTGCACAAAACTGGTCTATACCCATAACAGAACAGAAGTTTGGCACGCAGACTGGTTTAAAAATGGCAGAACCCATCTAAGATTTGCCCTCTGACCAAAGAGTGAATGCATGTTCTGTTTATTAATGATCTAAATGCCACTTATAGAAAACCATGGAACTTAGATTGATTCCACCTTGGGTTTTTTGAATGTCTGTAGCTAGCCTAGATGTTCAGTGTAAGTGTCTAGCACTTACATGTGTCCTACTCTAAGTTCCTCATGATTTGCTTACATACTTTTCAAAATCAAAACCCTTAAGCTTTTATGTTGTTTGTTTACTTTTTTGCATGTTGTGAAACTGTACTCAAATGCTCATCAATAGAGAAAAAAAAAAGAACGAGAGTGTTTCTATATTAGGAACTGTAGAACATTTAAGAAAAACTGCAGCCAGGCTTTGGAACCAAATTCCTGAGTATCCCTTTAATTTCTTAACTACTTTTCATTAACATTATCTAAACAGTATCTTCCTATCCCTGGATTTGTTTTCATGTCTTCTATATGTTTTTTTAATTTTCCCTGACATAATGAAATGAATGGCACTGAAACAGTATTCTAAGTGTATCTTTATTAATCCTTTGAATAGTGCTCCAACCACCTCTTCAGACTGATAACACTTATGTGACTCATTTCCTTTCCTACCCTCACACTGTTATATATAACATAGTACAAGGTTTTAAAGCAGGGGTGGGTAAAATACGGCCTGTGGGCCGGATCCGGCCTGCCAGGCCATTCTATCCGGCCAGCAGGGCCCCTAAAAAATTTAGAAAATTAATATTTATTTGCTTCTGGCTGCCAGTGAAAGATAACAGGAGACAAGGGCAGTAGATCCTGGGGGGGGGGGGGGGGGG